GTGTGAGAGTGTGTGTGTGTGTGTGTGTGTGTGTGAGAGAGAGTGTGTGTGTGTGTGTGTGTGTGTGTATGTGTGTAAGTGTGTTTGTGTGAGTGTGTCTATGTGTGTGTGTCTGTGTGTGTGTGTGTGTGTGTATGTGTGTAAGTGTGTTTGTGTGAGTGTGTGTGTTTCATTGCTATTCCCTACACTCGTTTCCTTCCCATGAGTCCTGCGTTCAAATAATTCTAATTGACATTTAGATGTGAACTATCAGTGCCAAGCGCAGGCTTGACATTTAAGGCCCGGCATTACCACCGACACATTACGGTCTTCTGATGAGTGCACCGGTCATCCGTCCTCAACGCATTCTGCAAACGCTCACCAAAACATGCATGTAAACTACATGTGAAATCATCATCATCATCATATCTCCGAGGTCTCGATGTCTGAGCGGCTGAGAGAGAATAAAAGCATTAGTCCTGCATGAAGGGGAACAAACGGAGCGTAGCCTGAGAGAAACGCTTCTCCTTCTGGAGGAGAGAGAGAGACTCAAATCATCACGTTATCAGTCCATCACACGACAACGCTCGCTTGAAGTTTCTTCTTTGGAATGAATAAAACATGTTTCTTTGTGAGAAATATACATGCACTACTGTTCAAAAGTGCATTTAAATGATCAAAAATACAGTAAAAATTGTGAAATATTATTGCAAATAAAAAAAAGCTGTTTTCTATTGTATTGAATTTTCAGCATTTTTGAATGAATCGCTTGAATGAATGAATCAGTGAGTCACTCATAAAGACAGTTATTTGTCCTCGAATCAATCAGTAATTGAATGACTCTGTTATAAAGACAGTCACTATAAAATCATCACATGATATAATGCTGGCTTATATATCAATATTGCTGATGATAAAACATATTATTAATATTATGCTGATTTCATTGATTAAAATGTTTTAGTAAAAAAAAAATATCTGTATGTAAATATCGCTGTTTTTGACCATGTACTGTTATACTGGTGTGCATAAATAAAAATAATTAAAAATAACATTAATTAAATATTATTATTATTTATTAAATATTAAATATTTTATTTTATATTAAATATAAAAATAAAAAAATATGTAAAAATAACAACATAAAAATTACAAATAAATAAAAATATACAAATAAATTAAATTAAATAATTAAATATAACGTTAATTAAACATTATTATTATTATTTATTACATATTAATTACTTTATTTTATATTAAATATAAAAATAAAAAAATATATAAAAATAATAACATCAAAAATTACAAATAAAGAAAAATATACGGATAAATTAAATAAATTAAATAATTAAATATAAAGTTAATTAAAACATGATTATTTTAAATAGATTCTGTGTTGAATTTTACTAAGTGAATCTAACAAGCTGTTTGGTTGAAATGATGCTTCCTCGAAGACGAGTATCTGGTGTTACAGACTTTGCTGATGTGTGTTTCTCTGACCGTCGAGTTCCAGTCCAGCGAGGAAACTCTTCCATGAAAACCAGGGAATAAAGAAACTCAATCTGAGAGTGAATATCAAAAGCAGCGAGAGCGTTTCATGTGTTTCATGTGCGTCGAGCTTCGAGTGTGTCGTTCCCCGGCGTGCCGTTTCAGAGAACAGAGACAGCGCGAGTGGAAGAATCACGGCCGCGCCGCTTTATTGTTTGTGAAACCCCTCGGCGGGAAGCAGCAATATCAACAAACCCATCTGTGCAACGGCGCTGCTTTCATCCTTATCAAAGCGCTTTCATACGGCTGGAAGTGGAGCAGTAATGACAGCTTTTGAAAACCCACAATCAAAACTCAATCACTCTACCCAGAGTGCACTTCTGCACAAAACAGGGCGCGCTCGTCCTCGCGCTCGGCCCACTGTGGACGGATCCGTGTCAACGCCGCCTGATTCGACATCACTTCCTGCGTCTGTTCACTGATGATGATGATGATGATGATGATGATGATGATGATGATGATGATGATGATGATGTCATCGCCTGAGAGGACACCGGAGCCGCACCGATCCGACCCGACAACATCAGCTTCTACAGCAACCCTCATTAGTGCCCTTTACTAAATCCAACTCCTCAGCAGCCAACAGAACACCCTAGCAAGTGTGTGAGAGAGAGTATGAAACACTAACGCCACAGCAGCTCACGTCACATGACCAGAACCAACCGCATCAGAGTTACACACACCATATCAGATGAACAACAAAGCCCTCATCACACACTCCACGTTATCAGATTTTTAATATATATTCAAGATATAATATAATATATAATATACTGTAATATAATATAATAATTATTCAGCCTGAGTAAATGGTAACAGAATTTTAATTTGTGTTTTTAATTTAATATTCATAATATATAATAATTAACATTTCTAATTATCTCATATTAATAATAAAATAAATATAACAATATTATAAGCATAATAAAAAATAATAATTTAGGGTGAGTAAATAACAAAATTGTAGTATTATATATATATATATACACTCACACATATAATTATTTAATATGTAAAATATAATACATATAATGTAACAATTTAATAAATGTAATAAAACTGATATAATATAATTTAATATAACATTATTTATTCAGGGTGAGTAAATGATAATATAATTTAATATTTGTATTAATAGTAATAATAATATATTAATATTAATTATTTAATACATATGATGTAACTGTAATAAATGTAATAAAACTGATATAATATAATATAATTTAATATAACACTATTTATTCAGGGTGAGTAAATGATAATTTTTTTTATTCCATATTTATAATAAAACTGATATAATATAATTTAATATAACATTATTTATTCAGGGTGAGTAAATGATAATATAATTTAATATTTGTATTAATAGTAATAATAATATATTAATATTAATTATTTAATACATATGATGTAACTGTAATAAATGTAATAAAACTGATATAATATAATATAATTTAATATAACACTATTTATTCAGGGTGAGTAAATGATACATTTTTTTATTCCATATTTATAATATAGAATAATATTTAATATTTAATAATAATAATATAATATTATTTAATATTTATAATAAAATAAACATAACAATATTATAAGTATAATAAAATAAATATAATTTAGAATCAGTAGATTAAGACAGAATTTCAATTTTGGATTTTTTAAAAATTTAATAATCATAATAAATATGAATTAATATTTATGAGTAAATGATGACAGAGTTTTCATTTTGGGGGTGAACTTTCTTCAACTGGGATTGAAAACTTTCACACAAAGCGAGCACAGTTACAGCAG